GCTGGCAACTTCGAACAACAGTAGTTGATTAATTACATGTTTTCTAGCATATTTAGCTTTATCAGCTTAGTTTGGTCGATAGTATAGTCACTTGTTTCATTATAGAACTTCATATTAAAAATTTTCATGATCGAATGAACATTCTATTCGCAAAATACAGAGCGAAATATTTTGTAATCACATCTAGACAAGGCATAAGAAGTATCATAACCAAATGCACTGTCTGGAAGAGAATAAACTCAGTAGGCACGCAATTCTCTCCCGATCCCTTAACCTTTGGAACGTATTAGTGATACAGCTATTTTTGAGGTTGTTAATATTGAGCCCTGCGTACCTCTTTTCTTAAGAACGGATCTAAAGCATAGATTATCCTGTTTAACTCTACTGTCTACAGGTTAGTGCATACTTTTATACAAGTCCTGAGATTTATTGCAAGACAAGTGCGACGTCTACGATATACGTACGCAGACAACGACACCAGTTTCGAAGGGGCGGACAGAGCATTGAAACGCTTAAATTGGCATGCAATCTAACTTTCTACTGGAAGTCTCAAACCTCTGGCTTGGAAGTTCATTCCCTCAACAGCCTTTTGTTGAAGTTGATGGAAACGATATATTCGGTCTGTAAAATCATTTCTATTACAAATATTAGGAAAATCATATGAAACATTGAAAATCGTCGACTATTTTATGTGACTTGGAACCGTTTATGCGACCACAAGTCAACAGGCTGATTACGTACATTTCGGAGAGCTCATATGATTTCTCTCGTAGTGTTTACACGGTTTATGTTCTTATAGGACATTTCACACTAGGGAATACTTGATTTTGACAAAAGTGGTCAAGAAAAACTTCAGCTATGACTCAAACATTCTCAAAAGTTGCGTGAACTACGGAATCGTTTCAGGAAAGAATACTTGTAACAACTAGTTTCAGAGGGTCGTTGATAAGAGTCCTCAAAAAACCGGTGATGTAGTATTAATTGACCAAGAGAACGTCAAAAGGCAACACTGGCCTTAGGCTAGTGGGGAAAAGATTTTCGAAACAGAGTTAGTTGCTCTTGGCTAGTACAACTAAAAGAGAAAAATATAACTTTGTTGCTTCTTTCAAGGAAATTGTATAGATTAGAGATTTCGGAAGAGGATCCGATTGGGCAAGCCATTCCTGAAATGTTTTCTAGACTCGGTCGACGAATAAAATCTATGCAAAGGATAAATTTCTCCACAAAGACTGAAGCATCGTAATATAGACTCCTTTGAACATTTTTAACTTATATTGTAGTTTCTACTGTAACTCTTTTGTATATTTATAAAGATTTTTAAAATTCTGTATATTTCATTTAGATAGTATGGGATGTGTAGTCTCCCTTTTCCAGGTTGTATTGTAATTGTATAATTGCAGTGGTAAATAAACTTTTCTATTTCATGTTACATTTTTTCGTGGTGGGGCTTTATAGTAAAAGAAAAAAAAAGACCGGCACTGTGTGTGTGAAAGGTTAGGAGTTTTTTTATTTTTACTTTTTTGTTCTGTATCCAGAATTACAGCATTATATTTACGTTGTAAAATAGATAAGTGAAAGTCTATCTTTGCCAACTGTTATTCATTGTTTTTGGATAATAAGAAAAGAAGAAAGGGGTGAGTATGCCCACTATATCAGTTTATAACTTGTTTATCCTTTGAGTACTGAAAAATTGATATTTATACATATGTAATCATTTTCACATTTAATGTATTTTAAGAACCTAACGACACAATTCTACAATTGGCAGTTGAGAATTACTTGTGCCAAACATACCCAGTACAGACAACTTTCGTTCTCCTAGGTGCCGGCACACGATACATCCATCATGATAGGGTACGAAAAACTTGGCTTCGTCTGTAAAAATGACATGGTACTATCCTTGCGTCCAATGTTGTCGTTCTTCGCACAATCATAAGCGTGACTGTTTCTGCTACTACGTGAAGTAAAGCTGCAATAATGATCTCCGTGCTGCAGACGTCGTCGCATTGTCCATGCGGACACTTAACGTCTTGCACACGAGTTAAGGTCTTGACTCAGCACGTGACATAGCTGTTCCACAAGGCTAAGAGGACAACATATTTGTCCTTTTGAAGGTTAGAGGCTCGGAGGAGCTGAGATCCTGCATGGTGTTAAATATGGCCCTCCTGAACCCATCGACTCCATAAATGTCGTACAGTCATGCGATCCCAACCAACACGAGCCGCTATGTCGCGGAATGATAAACCGCAGTTTCGATAAGATATTATCCGGCAGCAGTTGAATTCTGACACATGCTGGTAGGAATTTCTCCTTCTTACATGAGGCATAACACGACCTTCACACAAACAAGTAATGTTCAAATGAGATTTTCAGATGACAAACACGTTGTGCAGTCTTCCTATTTGTACCATAATGTAGATGTTAGTACTCATACCGGTTTTATGCGAATTCGCTAGAATGCTATTAGTATCCTAGCGCGCAGTACTCTTAATGCAAATTTGATGCTTGTTTCATGCAGCCCTTTTTTTTTTTCATTTTTATTTATTTATCTATTTATGTCTTTTTTTCTGAATGTGTGGGTGTTTTCTGAATGTGGCTTGTATCATACAGACAACTGCTTATGTGGATCAACAGGAACAATAGATCATTACCTGTTTGAATGTACAATCACTAAAGACCTCCACTTTCGTCCTTTCACAAATAAAAATGGCCAAGAATGGTTCAAAAATTAGTCAGAAGTATACCTCTTCTGAAAAAACTTCAAAATTTAATGGAATATCTTATAGAGAATTGTGATAATCTAAAGGCAGCATAAATTAAGGTATCACGATTTCACATCAGCATTATTTCGACATAATTAGCATCACTTAAAGGCAGCACAACTTCATTCAACAAATATGAAACTTACTCCATGTAGAGTTCCTCACTTTGTAAATGCTAATATACGGTTGAACGTGAAGAATTTTAAGAACTGATAAGTGAATAGTCGCTTGAGTTCGCGTGATAAGAAACAACAAGATGGAAGGGTAAATAACCCTTTATTATTCGCATAAGATTTAACAGAATTCCGTCTTAGAGTGTACAATAAAAGTCGACACTTGGGCTTTAACTTAAGAGACTAAGAAGTAAACTAAAACTAATCTAAACTAAAAAGAGATATAGCCGAAGCTATCAAAGTTTTAACATAGTTGGCCCCTTAACCACGATATGATGCGAAGTATCAAAGGCCTGAGTCGGCCGAGCGCAAAACAGCTTTTGAGAGAGCCAAAAGGCAGATGCGCGTCATCAGAAACTTATTCTCTAACTCAGCAAGTAGAACTTTACGTTAAATACCGTCCTCCTCATATAATTCAGACGTGATTCTAAAACTACGTTCTGGCCCGGAAGTAGTAAGTTAAGAATTTGACAGCAAAGAAGTTTAACTCAAAATTTAACTGTTAATAAAATTAACATATTACATTTCAACAAATCATCAAATCCTAATTATTTATTATGTATCTATCCAAAATTTTGTATCTAAATTTTATATGTATTCTACATTATGTATTCTATATTCTATGTACGTAACATCAAAATTTCTGTTAATATTTATGAGTTCTGTCAATCTATGTCAAGTATATGTCAAAATTATGTATGTCAAAATTATATATATATCAAAATCAAAATTTTATTGTAATATAAAATTTTAAATAAACGGGGTCCCACTGTGTGAGCAATAAAGCTGAAAGTCTTTATGACGGCACAACTGCTCACCCAGTGTTCTCCTGTCTCCTTAATGTGTGTGTGAGCACGTTTACGTATGTATACTTTTTAGAAAATTCAAAAGACCTACATATAATTAAAAAACTTCAGAAATTTCAAAATTTTTATTTTCTGAATGCTTCATTTAGTGACAAAAAATATTGGATGCCATTTTATGCACGAAATACATGAAGAAATCTTGATGCGATAGCCCTGAGACTCAGTTGCTTGAATAGAACTTTGAGAAATGTAGAATGACTTTGGAAACAAAACCTGTAGTAAAAGGAAAACCTACAATTTTCTTGCAAAGAAAAGTAATGACATTTAATATTTTTTAAAATTTCGAATCTCTACTTTTTTCTTTGTATTAAACATTTTTGTACTTTTTTCAAACTCCAGAATTTTATTTTTTGGTACTTTTTTTTCAAATTTTTGAAACATGGCGTATAGAACAGATGTTAACAGTCTGTTTTCCAATACAGTAAGACATCGAGATGAAATACTACATTTAAGTAAGACCCCGCTTAACGCTGTTTCGGTTTAGCGCTCTTTTATTTCAACCCGGGGATTTTCCGAAATTGTGCGCAGCGCTAGGTTTTCAAATAACATATCCGAAACAGTGTAGTTGTGTTTCTTGCTTTGTGGATGCATTTTTATCATTTGAAACATTTGTTGACATTATTGTAAGTTTAAATTTGTATAATACTATAACGATTAATACAGTTGACAAATATTATGATCTTTAGGTTTTATCAATGGGTGATAATAAAAAACAAGAAAAGAAAGCAACCGAAAAAAAGCATTTCACTGGAAACTAAAATGCGAGTGATTAGAAGATTAGATTCTGGTGAACGTTCAAGTCTCAAATTAGGTGCTGCATTGAATTTGGCAACTTCAAGAATAAGGACAATTCTTAAGAATAAAAAAAAAATACTGTCAATCGGCAACTGCAACTACGTCAAGCTCTGCAACTAGATTACCCATTCTAGAAATAACATTATAGAGGAAACGGAAAAACCGACTGTCTATATGGATTGACGATGAAATTGAATGCAATGTGCCATTAAGCCAATCTATCATAATGCCTTCTTGACAAAAAGGCAGAAAATTGGAAACCCAGAATAGACTGAATGATCTGACTGAGAATTTTATTTGTTTTTAAAAGTATATGCATTTACATTGTTTTTATTTTTGTAAGAAATAAATGTTTGATTTTATTTTTATTAAAAAAAAAACATTATTAAATTTAATGCCTAACCATTTTTTATCCGTCTTCCCCTAACCCCATTATTTACATGTTAAGATAGCCTCGCTTAGCGCTGTTTCGCATTACGCTCTACTTCGATGGAACGTATCCCCCGCGTTAAACGGGGTCTTACTGTATTCGCATTTTCATGTGTTAAATCCCATGCTCCTGTTATGAGTAGTTTTATACAAACTCTTGTTACAAGAAGTAAAATTAAATACTGCTATTACATATATTACATAAGTGTATCTTTCAGCTGAATGCGCTTGATCATCGATTTTGATAATGGAAGTCGAGGAGCATCTTCTTCTACATTTTTAAGGGTTTTCCTGATAGCAATATTGCACAACATTTGCAGTGGAAGACACTCCCTGGACCTTAATTTAAGCTCGTTTAAAATCGACATGCTTTCTTCAAGCGAGGTACTTCCTTTTTGCCTTATCGAGAGCTTCGTCTCCCAGACATGCCAGTTCTGATCCGATAAGTTAGCACCACAGCTTACAAGTAAATCAACTATCCTTCGATTTCCATTTTGACATGCGTAGAACAAAGGAGCAAGACCATCCTGATCACGAATATCCATGTTACTTCCAGAAATGAGAAGCTTGCGAACTAAACGTTCATGATTTGCAATAACAGCCATATGAAGGGCAGTCCGGTCGCGTTCATATGTATCATTAATATCGCACCCATGTTTTAGCAGCAGCATGCATAAATCTACATATGAAGGTTTTCCACAATCCTCTTCCTCTATTTTTCTTGTTTCTTCTTTCTTCAGTTGCCAAATAGATTTTTCTACAGCGCTGAACCATGGTGTGAGACCCCAAAAATTTCTTTCTCTAACCTATGGGGAAAAAATGTATTCTAGCATTTCACAACAATTAAAACACTTTTACAATAACAAACAAGAGAATAATACTAGTATGCAATGAACCATGAAGCTCAATAAAAGTTTTTGAAAAAGTTTATGCTTCGTTTTCAGAAAAGAATATGTGCAAAAATTACGCTTCCTCTATCTATACAGTTAAAAGTCGTTAATCCGGACTCGTCAGGATTTCAGCGATTCTGGATTATTGATTTTTCCGGATTATAGATCATCAGTTTAAATCTGGTAAGATGCCATGCAGAAATTATAAAATTAAAAATATGAAACCGTAATTTATGAAATAAAGAACAATTATGATCTAAAGGGTATAAAAATTTACAAAAAGAAAAAAAGCTTAATATTTATTTGTTTACTTTATTAAACATTTCTTTCAATGTAAGTTATTTCGTTTTCAATAACTTCTGTGTCACTTTCTTCTTTATCGGAAGCGAATTATAATGATGAGGAATTTGATTTAAATCATATCAAAGAAGGAGTACATTGAGATGAAATACTACATTTTGTAAGGAATTATAAGCCAAATAAAATAAAAACATCTGCCCCAAAAGATAAGAATAGTGCTGACAGATCAACTTCCAGTTGATTGCGCGCCGCGACGTCCCCCCCCCCCCCCGGCAGAGCAGCGTGAAATTGATAAACAGATTTCGGAATGGTTAGATAAACAAAGGATATGTCTTTATCCATTTTTTTGCAGCAACTCCACTTTTTGTTTAATGGACTTCGAAACATACTTTCGCTTTGTAGATCCTTTACATATTACTAAATATATATCGGAAATTCTATTTGACATAATCGAAAGTTCAAGCTTACTTTTATAAAATTGCTCTAATCTGCAAAAAATAATAATCCGGATCCAATTCGAAGATTAAGGAGCAACGCAATCTGCAACATTAACTGAATTAGATAATTTTAGCTTAGCTTATACCGTCCGTTATACATTAAACGCGCAAGCGTAAACATATCATGTTATTATGCACATGCGTCAACGTGACGCATGCGCAAAAAGTTTGTAGGTTTGAGGTCCGGATTATAGATCATTCCGAATTATGGGTGTCTGCTGAATTAACTACTTTTGACTGTATATGTATACAAATATGATATCTCTTTAGAAGCATCCTCGACACGTATTGGAGAGGTCCAAGGTTCGAGTCTCTGCGAAGGCATTGCACATTTTTCATGCCTCCTGCTTCAAAAGACCTAAGGATTCTATAATTCATTTTTACTTCTACATTTTTAGTCCAAAGATTCTTTGTCCCTGAAGGGCTATTGTTTTCGTTTTGCGATTTTGCGTTGAATAACTATAAATGTCCATTTCACCTTTCAAACGGTTGCCACCAAATGTTAGAGTCCTGCATTATGTTTGATGAAATTAAATAATGAAAAATCTGCATAAATATATGTATATTTCTCGCATTGTGATAAAACAACGGCACATCGAGCCATCGAATTTTGAATGACGTAATCCTACTACGAATGTGGGCATGTGGAAGACCAAATTTGAAATTTGGAATTTGTTTTACAATCAATTCCATATTTTGTAAAACTTTAACGAATTTTTTATTAACAACCTCGAGGATTTCAAAGCGAGCAATGGCAGCACTCTACAGGGGGTAGGGAACCTTTTTACAGGGCTTTTCACCCAACATTATTAATCAAGCAGTTAAAAAATTCTCATCTCAACACACTAAAAGCCACACTCTTATTTTAGGAGATTATAAAAATTCTGTTGTCATTCCCTTCTTTCCATCAATTAGCTATAAAGTTGCACATATTTTGCAGAAATTTAACTTTCGGGTTGTTTATTCTCCCATCAATAAAATTCCAACTTCTATACTCAAGGACCCCATTCCGGATATGAATTCTTGGAGTATTTATAGGATTCCTTGCCAGTGTGGTTTAATTTACATTGGCCAAACTAAGAGAGCCTTAAAATTTCGCGTCAAGGAACATGAGGCATATGTTAGAAAAAAGGAAACACAGAAGTCTTCTGTTGCTCAACATTGTTGGTCCGAAAATCACACTTTCAATTTTTTCTGCTGCCAAAATTATTCAAAAAACATCTTCCATTGGAGAACTGGATTTTCTAGAGGCATTTCACATTCATAAAAATCTTTCTGTTCTAGTTAACGATCCTAATTCCAATCCAAATTTGCCTTCGGCTTTTAGAGAAATTTTGTTTTAGTTCTGGTTTCGCCAACAGATGGCACCACTTGCTTATTCTTGTCCAGGCTTTCTTATCTTATCTAATCATTATTTCCTATCTTGTTCATTTGCGGTTTTGAGCTGAAGATGATGGTTCGGTAAAACCATCGAAACTAGTCCTGTGAAAATTCTGTAGGTATAACACTGATTTTTGTTGTTTGACTTCTGAATTAGTATTTATTCGGCGTGTTATTGTGTCTTAATTGTAATCTTATTTCTGCAAAAATTCACGAAGTAGTTGATTTTGATATCAGTTATAAATCATATTTTTTTCTAAATAATATTTAGAAGCGTTTCATATATTTCTTTATACACAGTTTTCACTAAACAGTGTCAGCTGTCAGCGGAATGACGTTTACGGCAACCCTATTGCATTGCTATTCCGCACTCGGTTTGTTTACATTTATTTGTACTGTGGTCAGTTAGCAAAAAATATGCGAAAATATCAAGGACGACCGAAAAAACATCCTGGTGTTAATAAAAGATCCAGAATTCAGCGAAAACGTCGAGCTCAAGAAAAAAATATGAAATTAAATTCCCGAGATGTGGAAGATTCCGAACAAGCGGATGTTTTCGAAAGGTGAGAAATAATTTATTCTTTATATCGACTACCTCGTGTTTATGATTTCGTAGTAAGTTAATTCCGAAGTAAAATATGCGTATTTTTTTTTATTGAAGGTCAGAAATTATTGATACAACTGCATCTGTGTCAAAGAAGAATCATTGCCCAAATGATTTTTTTTACAAAGTAAGGTTTTTTTTTTTTTTTTTTTTTTGTATGTGTATGTTTTGTGTGTGTGTATGAGGGGATGCTAATAATTGTTCAATTCTGTTATAACAATTTATTCCTCCATTCACACTAAATTGTTGGGAAATATTGAAAGGGTAAATTCCAATTCACAAGGAATTGCTGAAATAATTGAATCTTTCAAAGTATGAGCATGTTTCTTGCGATCTAAATTGAATTCACCATCATTACATTCTATTATTGGAAATTTATAGTCATATGTTTGCTACGAAATGCTTTGTCAGTTACCTATGGTATATTTTTTACAGGTGTATGCACATTTCATTCATGTGCTCGCTGTTCAACTTGCTTTTTTTTATTATGTCATTTACTTGGATGTTAAAACTTTCTTTGGTTGATCTTTACAATATGGTAACTGGTAGTTTGGCGACATGTTGGAGGCGATAAAGGTTACTACCTGGAACTTTGGTAATAATGTGAGCAGTACCCAGTTCCGATTACGCATTATTTTGTGTGAGGGAAATGAGAGATCATGGGATATGTCATGTGATATTAATGGACGAATTACGGTTCTTTAATCGGAAAAGGGGGGAAATCGGGAAAAAATCTGGAAATTTTGTATTTGGCTTTATCCTGTGTTGTGTGAAACAGTGTTCATGAATTTTTGGATCCCATGGCTGTAACTAAAGTGAATTCGAAATGGGTATTTAGTGGTATTGAAAAGGGTAGTAATAAATGTTTCTTTAAGGTTGTGCGAGATAGAAATAAAGATGTTTTATTAAGTATTTATTTTACCTGGTACCTTGCTGTGAAATATAAGTATGATTTTAAAGATCCTGAAACAGAAAGAAGAAAAGTTTATCGGACACGTAATCAAGATTCTGAAAGATTAGGTAAATTAGCATTTTTAATTATTTGAGGATATTATTTTTATGCATTGTTCTAAATGTAAGGTGGAAGTAAAGGAATTTGGTATTATTGGGAAAATTGTTATTAGCAATGATTTAGTTTAAAGTAATTAGGATTGTAAGGTAATTTTTATTAATTTAATGTATGTGCCTTTATTTTTAAGTAGTGTTTTTGAATTTAATTATATTTTAATTAAATGATAGTTATTTTTGAATTTATGTTTGTAGGAATTTCGTATACGTTTTAGTTGAAGTAAACGTGCATGGAAATAATTTAAATATCTGACACTAAGTATTTGTAATGGTTGCGGCATGAATTCGTTGGTGACGTTTATAATATAATAGATGATTTAGAGGTAAAAGTTTTTGGATATTTTATTTATTTTATACGTGGAAATGTTCATATTTGGAAAGGGTAAATACTTTTTCGCGATCAGGTAATTTCATATATGTTCTTTTTACCGCGTTTAAAGATTGAGAAAATTGTCATGTATTTTCGTGAAATTTTTCTAATTTATGAGAAAAAAGCAGTGTACATGGATATAGTGAAGAGTGTGCGCAATGCCATTTTTGTGCAATTCTGGGATTTTTTTTAAGTAAAAATAAGTCGGCGTGTACATGGTTTATGTGTATGTGTTATTTTGAAAAAATGCGTAAGGAGTATGGTATTGTGTTGCCCAGCTTCTTCATACTTGGTTAAAACTTTCTTTTAGCGTTGGAACATTTTATAATCATTTAGTAAAATTTATATATAAATATATATTATTGCTTGTTTATTTATGGTTCTGTGTATTTGTCATGTATGCATGTTGTGAAGTGTAGTTTTTGAAAAATATGTCACAAATGGTAAATTCCACCAAAAGCTGAATTGAATTGATATTGGGATGCAGGTAATTAGAAAATATCTGCCGTGTATTTTGAGCGTAAACCATACTAGTGCCAAGAATGGGACCAATACGCTCAGGCTTGCTTAGCCTTTTTGCCATTGTCCAAATTGAATTATCTCTAGTAGAAAAGGAGTGAATGCTTTCTCTATATAACAATAAAATATCTGTCTGATAAAAAATCTACCAATAAGAAACTTTTCATATGTTATGTGA